CCAAGGACTGCAGGCCGGGCCTCGAGGAGCCCACGGGAAAGGACTCGGTTCCCCGTGAGCCCCGGCGTGAACCAGTGACCCCTGCTGGGCCCACGCGCCACCATGTCCTCCGACACCCCCCCACCCACTTCCGTGTCCACAAGAGCTGCAGAGAAGGACATGCCAGGTCCCTAGCTCTCTGCCAGCGGCTTCCCTGATCCCCTAGGAGGACGATGTCACCTGTCTTTGTATAAGGACAACACCCTGAACCAAGAGATGGATAGAGTTACTCATCTGAGGAGGAAAACCCAGTCAAAGGAAGTTTCCCACCCAAGGCCTCGGTGGTGGTGGGGGAGGGGGGGCGGGGCGGGCAAGGGGCAAGTGCTGCAGGGTCCTTTCAGGTGGCACGGAGGCAGCTGTTACAGATCGCTTTGTTGTGTTAACCGCGCGATGCTTTCGTTAACTAAACATGTCAGAAGTATCAATGAAGCATGCCCGACAAGATATTTTCGTGGGAGGAGCTGTCCCGTAGTGCCAATGACAGTAAGTACCACCTTCCGTCCCCCCAGCCCTGGGAGACAGGGCGGAGGGCAGTCAGCTTGTGTTTAGCTTCTGAGCATGATTTTATGGGACGAATAACAACGTTTTCCTCCCCATCACCTATATTGTCTTCATCCTTAAGGTAGACAATGTATTTTAAAAAGGGGCGGGAAGAAGCGTTGGGCCGTGTCCCTGCCAGCTTTCCCGGGCATCGCGCTCCGGGGCGCTGGGCCATCCCTCCATGTGCTGCACACAGAGCTGGCCCCAGGGAAGGCCTGGGCGGTTGTTTAACTTCCGTCTGCCTCGGATTTTTTGAATACTGGCTTTATTTGTATGGGCTTAAAAAATTATAATGTAGCAAATGTTTCAAATTTAAGCCGTGGGTAAAGTTTTCCTAGCAGAAAATTACACAGTAAGCTGGAGAAACGGAATAGAAAGCCGCACGGGGTTCTCCTTAAGGTTTTTTGTATTCTCATGGGACTCGAAGGCGCCTCGGGCCTCCAGAGACGAAGGGACTGGGGCGGAGGGTGTGGAGCTGCCCCTCCCCGAGCGTCCTGCGCACCTGCAGAGGGCAGCATCTGAGCTGCGCAAGCGCTGCATCTCCAGCTGATGTAACCCAGCGCCCCAGATGCCTGCATTCCCCACAGACAGGGGTACCCGTATACCCTATTCATCAAGGCATCCTGAGAAAGGGGCTCCCAGTCTCTCGGGGGAACCCAGGAGGAACCGACCACCCCAGTATATTCTTGCCCACCCCTCTGCGGACGTGGAGGAAGCTAGGAGGCCCTGGGAAAGCTTATTATCCTGACCCCAAAATCTGGTGCCTCACCTGTGGGCCCCATAGCCCCTAGAGTTTCCCCTGTCCTAGAACCTAACCCACTGCCTGCTTGTCTGGACGCCTGCTAGCCTGCTGAGGCCGTGAGGACTGGCGCCCTGTCTTGTTCACTTTGTGTCTCCAGCATAGTGCTTCCCATCCAGCAAACATCTGTTTCTTCTGTTCTTCATAAATTTCATGTGTTTTCTCATCTCCTGCCACCTCAGATCTCAGTTAACTTTCAATACTGTGTGAGGGTGCGCGCGCGAGGAATACATACGTGAGCTCACGCTCACACACACACACACACACACCCTGACTGCAGTCCTGCGTGGCCTCAAATCCCTGCCAATCTAATTTCCCAAAGGCCCCACATGCAGTGGCATTCCCCTGTTCTCACTGATTTCACCTCCCTGCTACGTTTAACAATGCTAGCATCCCCTCCCGGAAACCCCCTGTTCTTCCACTTGCCCATGTCACACCTGTGGAGCCCAGCTCAGGCCCCTTTCCTCTTTGAACAACCCCCGCCCCCGCCCCGGCCAGCCCCACACTCATCCAGCCCTAAATGACTTCTGTGCTCTCCTCTGCGTGCACCCTGCAGCAGCTTACCTGTTCTGTGTGTTAGACGTCGTTCCACAGTTAGACTGTAAGGTCGTGTGCAAGTGCATCCGCGTCATCTCCTTACCTGGTTTTCTAGTGTCTAGCCCAGTGCCGGGCTCTTAGGAGGCAATCAGTGAGTGTCTGCTGATTGATTTTGAAGCACCTGTCTTTATCATTAGTACTGAGAAGTGGCTCGTGGCTCTGTAGCCCTGCTGTTGTTAATCACCCTCAATGAAAGACATGACTGTCCCAGCCCCTCCCTCAGACATGGCCCTAAATTCGCCCCCATACAAGCCGTTTTCCTGTGGAGCCCTTGTTCCATCCTGTCGTTATCTGTTTATTGTTTACTTACACTGGACTCACCTGCCTTGCTTGCTCTCGTGTCCTCTGAGCCTCATTCAGCTCCTGCTACGTTGGAATCTCGGTGAATCCGTGATGCGTGAATAGATGGCGGGACATGGTTAGAATACCCTCGTCCCAGTGTCAGATTGTATCTGTCTTCTCTTCTCTTGGACTCCCGACTCCTTGCTGCAACATCCCTTGGCTTACATGCTACCCTTTCCCGCCAGAGAAGCCCCCAGCCCCACAGGTTCTGTGTACTGATGGCCAATATTATTTCAGTCTTTCACACCAACTTTAACATATTGATTATAATGCCTTAGGAACTGTTATCCAGAATGTTAGATGAGCCATCCCCTCCTGGGGAAACTTGGGGGTGATGGGGTTAGTTGACATTTATTGAAGGTCTGTGTACCTACCGTGTGTCTTATTTGAGTTAGTTATATTTTCACAACTCAGAATTAACATTATTATTTTCACTTTATAAATAAAGAAACTAAAGCTCAAAAGGGTTAAACAGTGTGTCCAAGCTGTGTAACAGGTGACAGAGGGAAAATCTGAATCCTGGTCTTTCTGATCTCAAAGCTTATACTGCTCGTCTCTCTGTTCCCAGTTACATGGGCCACTAAATGGGAGGTTGCTTAATAGTACTTTAGGGTAGAAAGGCAGTGCCTAAGTACTAACCTCAGATAAGCTAATGCTCATGAGGAAAGTCAGAGATAAGGGAAAGATACTCATTGGCAGGTTGATTCTAAGCAGGGATTGACAGAGGTCAGCTTCTAACACCTTAAAAGTTCAAAAGGGTGACCGCTGAGCACCTAAGAAGACCACCTTTGGGGGCTCTGTGACAGGGGGCTGTCAGTGGAGAGTGTAGGTTGACCCCTGACAGCCCCCGCCAAGGAAGCAGCAGGAATCCCGTTAGTGAAGCGAGCTCACTGGCTCTCGCTCTCCCCTTCGGTGATGGGCTCGGTACCAGCCTCAGCGCCATCCTTAGATGAGAGCAGCTGTAGAAGGCACAGACTTCCAGTGCTCCTGGGAAGGGGGAAGAGCAGAGAAGTTATGGGAAGCTGAAAATGCCTCCGTCAAGCTTATATCCTCATAATTAAGAAACCTTAGCACCAACTCATACAGTTTTCTTGACCAAACCTTTTTGTGCTCTGGTCTCCCCAACTGCAGATGATGTCCGTGCATCTAAGTCTTAAGAGGCTGCAGGCACAGGTCCCAAGTTCCTCAGAGAAGTGACAGCAAGGATGGAAGAAGCATAGTGCAGAATTAGGCTTTATCACATGCTTTTACAAGAAAAGGTTAATTGAAGGAGGACTTCCCAGCAGCTTAAATGAACTATTCCAAAGACTTTTCCAAAGACTGAAAAGCTCCCAGAAAACAGCAGACTGGCATTCCCCGCAGTCTGATGCACGTCTCAGCCACTGTCAAAAAGGGAAAGAGCTCCTCTCTGACTTGGGTCCTATCCTCATCTTTATGATCAGACAATTTTGGAAACACGCTATCATTTTATAACGTTGTTTAAATATTCCAGGATTGTGTGTGACTCCACGTCGGCTTGAATTGTGTGTGTTTACCCTGATAGATCTCCCTTCCCATGTGTACTTCTCCACTTGCTTGATTTTTTTTAGATTGATTTTTCTGTTGTAAGACAGTACTGAATATACCTGTTGCTTTTCTCAACCGTTTCTCTTACTGGTCAAGATCCTCTTGAATTTCAAGCCCAACTCTGAAGAATCTTCCTAACGTAGTACGTCCCTGTTTTGACGGCATCTTGAAGCGCCTGAGCACAGTCCCGCTCGGTAGCACTCGGCTGAAAGGTCACACCTGTAAACCAGGTCTGACGCGTCCGCTGATGAGCAAGCCTGCTCTCTGGCCTTGGCGGTGTTTAAGTTCCTCCTCCGAGGGGTTGTAATCATTAACTTTGACATTTCAATAGGCAGTCACTTGACAGGACAGACTTTCCTGCATGGCACTGCTGAGTCACTCAGCCTCTCGCTGGCAGAAACGTGAGCGTTTGAGAGCCAGGCCTCCCTAAGAAACCTTCCTTGGAGCTGCTCCGAAGCCCTCCCAGGAGCTGGGCAGGCCCCGTGTGCGGAAGACTCGAGCGTTCCCTCGAACAACCAGTTTTCAGGAACGAAGACCTTGACGACGTGGGCTCCCGCTCCTGTGATGTGGTGAAAGGTGCTTTCCACCTTTAAAGTCAGACCACATAGGAGAGAGTCACCCGGATCCTTTTCTAGATTGTCCTCCGCCTGATTCCCAAGCAGGAAAAGGGCAAATTTACAGACTCGTGCTGCCCTCTGCTGGCCCTCTGGAGTCTGTGCTGCTGCAGCAGGAGGTTGCAAAACCAGTTTGGGAAATAGAAACCTCGTGTGCAGGCTGCTTTCATGCCTTTCTCCGTGACTGGAGGTATAGGGTCCATACAGTGCTTTACTTCATAAGACGTCTAGCTGAACACACCTTAAGGGGCTGTGAAATGCACGCAGCCACACCAGCTTCACACAGAGAGAACTCCAGCTTGAGGAGGTGTGTGCCGCTCGCTGGGCAGGAACTTTCCCAGCCTGTGTGTCTTAAGCAGGAAAGAGAAGGTGCTCCTTTTTCCTTTTAAAAAATTCATCTCTTTATCACACTGGTGGAGTAACGAGAGAAAAAACTGACTTTGTTTCCTCTGTCAACTCTGGGATGTTTCCTAAGGGCTCATATACTGTCTTTTAAATTCCAGGTGCTGACCTTCTGAACCAATGCCCCCTGAGGACTTCTGTGCCTGGAAAATATCTGCCTACAGATTTCTTTGACACCCTATGTAAGTAGAGGCTTGTGCTCAAAACTCAGTCTCACGGGAGCTTTGTTTTATTTTGTTCCTGGAGGATCCCCCAGTGAGTTTTTTTAGGTGGTCATCAGTGTTTGATCTCGGTTTTTTTTTCTCTAAAACACTCAACTTCCAATTTACTATCAGAAAAAGTCTATAACACGAACTTCTGCTTAAAATCAAGGGTATGGATCCCATATTCAGGTCTCAGAATGGGAAGAGGAGAAGGCAGAAAATATTAAAACCACTCGCTTTGGTCAATTCAGTTGGAGACGCCATTTGTAGATCTGAGGGCATCTTTTCAGGGTTTAGTATTCGTCAGACTCCTCTGTGGTTAGCGACTGTGGAATGTGCCCCGTACAGCTCAGGGTGTGGGCGCGGGATCCGGGAGCCCTTCCGTTTGGGAGCCGTGACAGATCTCTTAGCCACATCTCTGCTTATAACAGGCTGAAGGAAAACCGATATCTTATTTTTATCATTGTAACCGTCATTTATTGAATGTGTACATGTGCTATTTCTAGTTCCACTTGGCTTCTCCTTCTCTGTCTTAATTCTCACAACAACCTTACGTGGTAGGTCTTGTTATTACCCTGATTTCACAGATGAGGAGACTGAGGCACAGAGAGTCAAGTAACTTCCCCCAGTTTGTGCGGGGAGTGAGTTCCAGAACTTGACGTTCCAGCCCCAGAAGTCTGCGTTGGACCATCCCACCAAACTGCCCCATAGAAACGGGCCACTTTGGAGGACGAGCTGGCGGGCTGTATTTGTAGACGGTGTTTTAGCACTGCCACAGGCCCATGCAGGAGGGGGCTGCTGGACTTAAAAAGGCTTGAGCTTGCTTAAGACTAGTAGGAGAACAAGGCTTTAGAGACGATGTCACTCAGCAAGTCAGAGTGTGGCGGAGGGTCTGGGGCCAAATCCTACCGGTTTCCAAGTTTTCTCCTTCCTCTTGGTTGTTAGGTGCCGCTTCTGCTGTTCGGGACCAAAGCTGGTTTCAGTGGTTTGCTCATGTGCTTATTGACGAAACCCTGCACCTCAGAGCCCGTTTATGTTCAGAGGTCCACATGGCCATGTGAAGATTGGCCGTTACAGTATCTGTAAAGCACCAAGCAGCAAAGAATGGTGAGTAAGAGCCTGGGCCTGGAATCAAGCGGAGTGGAGTCTGAATCCTGGTCTTGCCATTCCTAAACTTTGTGACCAAGAGCAAGTGCTGTACCCTCGCTATGTCTCTGTTCCTTCAACTGAAAAATGGAAGTAACGCCACTAGCCTTGTAGGTGGTTGTGAATGATGAGAAAATGCATAGAAAGCACGTAGCACAGTGTTTGGCACAGAGTAAGTCTTCCAAAAATGGAAGCTGTTATTATTTATCAGAGTACCTTCCCGTCCGCTCCACAGTTCATGTCGGCCTTCACTCTGAAACGGCACTGCAGCGTCCTGATCCATCTAATAAAACAATGTTTGTGTGTAGTGCTTTTTTAAAAATGACAGTTGTTGCCATACACAGAATTCCACATGCCTCTAAGAACCAGTGCAGGATAGGAGTTTGTGTCTCCGTCCTCTAGATCGGCATGCTGAGGCTCGGCAAAATCAAATGATTGCCCGAGATCCCGCAGCCAGTCAACAGCACAGCCAGCACTTCAGCTTGGAGCCACGTAAGTCAACAGAGAACTACTCCCCACCGTACGGTCCAGCGCCTTCCAAACGATAACAGTTGCATCTTTATTCTGGCCTGAATATTTGGGTTAGGACTCTTGTATCCTGAAGTCTGTAACGTTCTGAAGCTACCTTCTTTAAAGACGCGTCATAGTCAGGTACTGTCTCCTTGTGAAATAGCCTCATGCCCCAGGGGACGTTATCTTAATCCAGTTTGCTCGTGCAAGAACAGACTGGCATTTCACTTCAAGGAAAGACAACGTGTTTCCACTGTTCCGCTTTTGCCACACAGGAGTTAACCGGTGTGGCTTATTGATTCACATCTCAGGCTCTAACTTTCCTATCAGATCTGGAAGAAAAAAAAAAAACAAAGAATGGCAGCTTGATCCAGAACAGCATGAAGTAAGGAATCGCAGGTGGGATTTTGAAATAGAAACACATTCTTGTAGCCCCTGTGCTGAGAGACACCAAGGAGGGATTTTGTTCTTGAAAGGTGAGCACTTTAATGTGGAGGTGGAGACTTTAACAATGTTAAGTGTGTGTTCTGTGTGTAAGAAAGAGTTGTTTAAAAATAACATTCCTTTCAAACGATGCAGTACCTTAAAACTGTCAATGGTTAAAATAGAGACACCCTGAGTTACAGAAGTTCAGCCCTGCCGTCTCCTGCCCTGAAAATACAGAACAATCAGGTTGATTGTTGGAGGTTGGAGGATGGGGAGGAGTGGAAACACGCTGATGTTTACTGAGTAAGATCTTTCCTTGCAGTTGACTGTCACTGAAAGACTCAACAAAGTAAGCAGAGGGCTTCCCTGGTGGCGCAGTGGTTGAGAGTACGCCTGCCGATGCGGGGGACGCGGGTTCGTGCCCCCGTCTGGGAAGATCCCACATGCCGCGGAGCGGCTGGGCCCGTGAGCCATGGCCGCTGAGCCTGCGCGTCCGGAGCCTGTGCTCCGCAACGGGAGAGGCCACAACAGTGAGAGGCCCGCGTACCGCAAAAAAAAAAAAAAAAAAAAAAAAGTAAGCAGATACCACGTGCTCTCATCCTGTTTACCTATGTACGTATTGGAAAGAGAATGAACGAGCCCCTGTTAATTTATCAACTGTTTTTTCCTTTTCACTTCCCTACTAGTGAACAATGCGATTTTTTTTCTCTGTGTTAATTTGATAGCCAGTCTGCCCACGCAGACCGCTTTGCAGGAAACCAACCTCTTGCTGGACAATTAAACACAAACAGAGGCCCAACTCAAGATCTCTACTTCACTGTATTTTGTTTAAGTCATTTCACAGTCACCAACTAAATACCTCAGTTTCCCCCCAAGGGCTTACAGACTTCAGAGAAGTATACTACGTGACTGATCCCTGTGCTAGTAATTACTCTTTGTCTGCTGAAAATGCCTCCTCGTGTGAAGAGACATACATGGGAAAGAATATATCCACCTTCGTTCTTCTGAATTTTTTGAAAAACATGCTTAAAGGATAATACAGAAAACTTACCATATCTCTTTGTTTCTGCTCAGGTAACAGAACGGTATGGTTGTATATATATGTGTGTGTGTGTGTGTGTGCGCGCACGCATATATGTGCATGCGTGGGTGTGACATATATTTGATGTATAAGATATGTATGATCTTATCAGTCATAAGTAAAAGGAAGAAATTCACTCTTCAGGGAAACAAACAAACAAAAAAAACAAAGAAACAAAAAAGCTTCTAAGTGGCAGTAAGCAAAAGCTGTAACTAGTCATTTGTAAAAAGTAAGCAGACCTTTTAGTTCTGGATTTTGAATTTTTTAACTAATGAGAACAATCTGGCTGCATCTTGCATACTTCAGTCATTGTTATTATCAATTACAATAGCATATCCAGAAGGATACAGGGGACCCCTAAATTAATCACAAAATTCGTGAAATAGTTATTTGAGAGTGCCAGTGACTCTTGGCATTTTTTCAATTTTAAATGCTTGAATTTACTATTCAGTTGAAATATTTAACTGCCTGTCACTTGACAAAATATGTGCATTTCTTTGCAGTTAGTGAGCTACTTTGATGAAGTTAGTGATTGCTACCCAGCAATGATTGCTGCTGCAGCCCATAGTGTTCTATTTCCTTATTTAAAGAGATGAAAAAACTAGCCTAGTAGTGGTAGGCACGTGCAGTGATGCTTTTCCATTGTGAAGGGTGAGTCTGCGTTGGGATCTCGTATTGAGGGGTAAGTGGCCAAGCCTGTCAGGGGTAAAAATGGGAATCAGACCTGAGCTGAAGCCTCTGTTCCTCCTGGCTTATATTAACATCCTGCTGAACCCACCTGAAATCCTCAACCACAGGCACATTGTAATTGGCTGTTCTTCCCACAGTCATTTGATGTATGAGGAAAGTTAAAAAGAAAAGCTAAGTTTGTGTTAATTTATTTAAGCAAAGGAAGCAGAATAAGTGAACGGTACAGCCAAGAGTAGAACCATTCTCACAAGGTGACGCTATCATGATAAAACCAAAAAAGGGTGGGGAAATGTTTTAGGTAAAAGAAACCAAAGAGTCTTAATGAGTGAACCTCAACGGGATTTGGGGTTGAAAACAAGCCACAAAAGAAATTTTTTTGGAGAAAGTGGGAAAAATTGGATATAGGCTACATGTTAGATGATGCTAAGAAATTGTTAATTTTCTTAGGTATGAATAAGATATTGTAACGATATAGAAGAATGGCCTTATATTTTTAGACCTGCTCAAGAAGTTAGGAAAACAATGTCAGGATGGTTGTTGATTTACTTTCAAATGATTCAGCAAAAAGTAGACATATGTTGTACATGTAGATAACATCACTAAAGCAAAAGTGGCAAAAATGAACAGTTATTGAATTTAGGTGGAAGAAATTTAGGAATACATTTATTGTCATTCAAAGTTAATGTATGTGTGAAATTTTTCATAACCATTAAAAAAAAAAGAATGCACATCTCTTTAGTTAGGTGTCCCAGATACAGTAAGTATCTTCTTGAATCCCTAGAACCCTGAAGGGAACGGCAGTAGGCTTCCTAATAAAATGATATCAAGAACCATGATGGGAAGGAGAACAGAACTGCAGCAAAAAATAATTTAAGGAGAAGGGAGAGCAGTGAGTGGAGGGGAGCAGAATCTTCAGTAAAGCCAACAAAACTCCTTTACTCATAGGTGCAATCTAAGGAATTCCATTCTGGAAAAAACATTAGGATCTCATTAGCATCAATATATTACTTTGCCTCTGAGCTATTCCATTGTCCTCCTTAGACCCCCAAATCATAGTCATCCTTTGAATCAAACAAAATTATCTTCAAACGAAAGCACCAGGTTTAGGGAAGCGTTTTCTTGAACGCGTACTAGAGCGCCTGCTTACTTGGTACCATTTACATGTATGTTGTAGCACTCTGACTTATCCTGCACCTGGGCACTCTGATCTGGGCAGCTCAAGAATAAAGAGCCACAGGCACACGCACACGCACACACACGCACACGCACACACACACACACACACACACACACACACACGCCCCGCACCGCATCAGATTTGGTGAGAGCAGCACGTGCACAGAGATTTGCTAAAGCTCGATTTAGACCACAAAGTAAATACCTCACAGCGGAGCTCCAACCTTTTCCTTTCTAGGTTGTCTTATTTATTCACTCTGAAGGAAGAACAGATCCTAAAGCTTCTTCAGGAAGCTGGTTTCACATGGTGGTTTAGATTTAAATAGTGATTGTCTAGCACCATTTGAAATCAGTGTTCTTGGGGGAGACCAGCTGCGCTGCCAGGGGCAAAAGGAACGAATGGGACCAGCCCTGAAGACTTTGAAAGCAAAGACCAGCCGGTGAGGGGAGCCCACCTGGCGCTGCCGCTGCAGCTGATCCATCCTCCCTGCCGTCACCCCACCCCCACCCCGCCCAGCTCCCTGCCGCCAGCGGTGAGCAGTGGTGTTACAAACAACAGGTTAATTATGCGACGTCTCACTGCTAGAACCTCACACTCATTTGTACAATAAACCTTCTATAGTACTTTTCCTGTAATACAGACTCTGTCGTGCATGGGTTAAAAGGCTGAGTGTGTGGCGGATTTATTAATCTTTGGGCCCTTCCCAACCCTCGCATCCTCCTATGACCCCTTAGAGGATGACTGATTTCTTTTGGTGTTCAGAGTCAATATAATTTTCTAGCACCATCTGAAATCGGTTATAATGATTGGGGAAGAGCACCGTGCCGCCGATTAAGAGGAGAAAATGTATTGGTGACCTTTGGAGCCGTGAATAAGAAACAAGAAAACAAATACCAAGGTGGTTTTTCTTCTTTCAGTTTTTGAGTTTCATTGCCCTGAATTACGTGTGTTTTTAATGCTAATAAATGGTTAATAGCATATTGCTAATGGTTGTATTTTAGAGGAATCCCACAGAATTTGTGGGGATATTTGTTTTGATGCTGGATACCTAGGAAAAAGTGGGTGAAGTGATGCCTCGGGTCACTTGAAAGGCGTAGAGCGGGAGTATATCCCGCTGCGAGCTTGTAGACCTCACCTTCAAACGCTCCCCTGCCTCCGTGGAGTAGAGTGGATCCCGTGGTCCGCCAGGCCCTTTTCTTACAGGGCAGCGCCAGGCTCAGGTGGGCTGGAAGCTAAATCCGACAAGGCGCGGGAGGGAACATGGCACGGACGACTAGGTTTCTGTGTCCAGGACACGACAAAGTTAACGTTTCCATTCGGTTTGGAAAGCAAGGTGAAGAAGGCCCCAGGTCACACTTGAACTGCTTTCCTGAATTTTACCTTCTTACCCTGGAAGGGAAGTTGTTAGACCGAAAACAACGCCGGGTTTTCTAGGTCCTAGCAGTGGGGTGAAAAGGCGCGGGAGGAGGCTTCCCTGGTGGCGCAGTGGTTGAGAGTCCGCCTGCCGATGCAGGGGACATGGGTTCGTGCCCCGGTCCGGGAAGATCCCACATGCTGCAGAGCGGCTGGGCCTGTGAGCCATGGCCGCTGAGCCTGCGCGTCCGGAGCAACGGAAGAGTCCACAACAGTGAGAGACCCGCGTACCGCAAAAAAAAAAAAAAAAAAAAAGGGCGCGGGAGGGAGCTGTCTCAGCCGCCCACCTCCCAGGGCTCCTCTGCCGCTTCTTTCTGCCCCAGGTACTGATTTAGCCGAAGGTCAGCCTGCCACGCCACCAGCTGTCTCCATGTGCCATCCTGCTGCATGGAAGGGGCACCTTGGCAAAGTCCAGGCCTTGTCCTTCCGCTTTCCCTCTGGCCTGGAGCAGCTCCGCAGCCTGACGTCAGGTGACAGCTTGCCCTGCTTCCCAAAGCTCAGGCCTCCACCTTCCTACCCTTCCCACACCCGCCCTGCCTCTCCCCACTCCTGCTTATAATTTGTCCGGGAAAGGCCTTTCGCCTCAGGGCTAGGGCTTGGAATTTCTGTCTGCCACGCAAATCAAATGAGACCATTTCGCTTCCTTTTCCGTCCTGTGGTTATCATTTCCCCAGAACTCTGTCTTTTCCTTTCTTACTCTTGTTTTCCCTGAGTAACCTTACTTACTCCCCTGTTTCCAGATAGACCTGCTACGTGATGACTTTCCCCACCTAGAGCTCCAGCCACAGATGTTTTTCACAACTCCTTGTTTCCATATTTCTAGTTTTTTCATACAAAATCTTTAAGTTTTAAAAGAAAGGATCACGTGTTCATTCAGACAGCTTTACCAGACTTGGCCACCCAATAAGTCACACACGCACACAGGTATTTGGAAGATAATTTGCATGACTCTTCAACTGGTCAAGTCGGGACCAAGCAGCCACTTTCCCCGCAACCGTCTTGCACAAGGACGCCTTACTCAGAACAGGCTATGGGGCAGCTGTACTTGAACCTTGCCTCCAGAGGGAACAGATAGCTTAACCTGCTGTTCTAAACCTCTTTCAATCATTGTGCCAAAGCTGTGCTCATTTTCATTGCCCAAAACCAGCTCTCGCCGTGGTTAAAGCTGACCGCCTCCCCTGCCCCGGCCTCACCCACACTCTCCAAGCCTTGCCTCTCTTCTGTCTTAACTTCTTCAAAATCCACCCCTTTCTCTGCACCCTCAGCAGCCTCCTAGGTGGCTTTCTTGCCCCACCTCTTAACCTTTAGTCCAGCTTTTGTGTTTTGTCCAGTTATTCTTCTACTGACACGTGACTTTGCTCCCTCTCTGTCTTTCGTGGGTCTCACCCCTGCCTATGTGGCCACCCTCTTCTCCAGACACCCCCCCCCCCCCCCCCCCCCCCCGCCTCTGGGCCCCCCCCCCCCCCCCCCCCCCCCCCCCCCCCCAGTTAGGGCCTGGCTTCTGAGCTCACCCAGCTGCTGCTGCTGACCTGCAGGCACCTGCACATTTCCAAGCGTGTGTGTAATATTCCCTCTGCCCACAACTTCCTCCTCCTTCTCAGCCTGAGAACTCCAGCAATTCTTCAGCGTCAGGCTCAAGAGACTCTAAATCAGATAAGAAACAACAATAATGATGACAATAGTAACAGCTACCACTGAGCTTTTATTTTGTGCTAGGCACTTGCTCAGCATTTTACATGAATTATCTCACTTAATCTAACTTGCAAAATAGTCCCATGAAGTAGGTATTAATTCAAATTTCTGCACGTGAGAGAACAAACAGAAGAATTAAATAATTTGTCCAAGATCATGTAACTGTAAGGTTTTTGCGTAGGAGTACAAACCCAGATCGCTCTGATTCCAGTGCCTCTCTCTTGATCAGGGCTGTTCTCTTCATTGTGGATGTAATCATGGGGCTGCTCGTTTGGTAGACGCCTCTCAGATGGCCCCCACTGATCCCCACCTATGGGTATTCATGACCTGTGTAGTCCCCTCCCCTTGAGCGTGGGCCGGACCTAGTGACTTGCTTCTTGCCGATAAAATGCAGCAGAAGTGGATGTCCCTTTTGAGATTAGGTGACAAATGGACTGTGATTCTTTCATGTTTTTGCATGTGCTGTCTGTCTCTCTCTCTCTAAGGAAAGACACCTGCCACGTTGGGATCTGCCCAATGGAGAGGCACATCTGGCAAGGAATTGATGGCTTCAGACAGTAGCTCATGAGGACCCGAGGCCTTCCAAGAGCCACATGAGTCAACTTGAAAATGAATCCCCCTGCAACCAGCCTGGGGATGACTGCAACTGCAGCCAAACCCTTGACTGTAGCCTATGAGAGACCCTGAGCCAGAGGACCCAGTTAAAATGTGCCCGGATTCCTGACCCACAGAAATTGTGACATAATACATGTTTGTTGTTTTAAGCCACTACATTTTGGGGTTATTTGTTATGCAGCAGTAGATAACTATACAACTCAAAGTACTCATGTCTAGACTCAAACTTTCTGCTTACAGTACCTAACTTTTTAGATAAACTTTTTGTTGGAATAACTTTAAAGAAAAGATGTACAAAGAACACCCTCTGTTACATTGTATGTAATCATGGTACATTGTCAGTACTAACAAACCAACATTGGTACCTTATTGTTAACTAAATTTCAGGCTTGATTCACATCTCACTAGTTTTTCCACTAAGGTCCTTTTTCTATTCCAGGATTGGGGTCATATTTGTAATAGCCTAATAGATATCACACCCGATAACTCTTTGTGTAGAGAAAGAGAGATGAAATATACATGTGTTTGCTAAAATTTGGGAGACCTACCCATAGATAAGAAAAGAATATTACCAAAGTCTTTAATCAGGGATCTTCTTTATAATTATTTGGAAAAATAACCATTACATTACTTAGCTGAAAACTATTATGTGAAGTTACTGAGGGGAGAGGTGGGAGTGGCTCCAGGTAATAACTGATAAGGCCCTAACAAGTCAGAAATACTTTAAAAAAATAAAATATACCTTTCTAAAAAGCAATAATATTTTAATAAACTAAAACTTTTAGAGTTTTCATTTATTAATAAGCATGTCAAATACTACAAGATTCACCAATGTTTCATTTGCCTTATGATGTTGGTATAAATTAATTTTTATTTATATAATATGCAAATACCTAATTTGCTTGTAACTATTTAAATGGCAACTATTCAACTAAAAGTACTAATCTGCGTTTTTCTTCATTCCTGTGCAGTGTGATACTGGCAAGTCACTTGGTCTTTCTGGGTTTTTCTTTGGAATGAATTTATATTGCTAGAATTTTACCACAAATCAGTCATGCACTACAACCACTTAGTAGCTGTAAACATTTTGCAAACAAAACTCTGTGTACAAAGTTTAATAAAACTAACCACTCTCTAATTGCTTAAACATTTAGCTGCATTATTTTGCAGCATTGTTCCAAGTGATTCGTAAAGAACAATCCACATAAAAGTAAAACTTTTAGGAAAGAATGAGTGATGTTACTTAAAGGAGAAAAGACACCCCATTTTTACATACACTCTCGTGGTTGAGTTTTTTTAGTAGGGTGTATAAACGAGGACATCAAGTGACTTAGGAGAAAATAACAAGCACAGCGACGCTTTGGATAGATCCTAAAAAGCTATTAAGTGAGATAGGATTTTTCAGATCTTGGCGACCTACCAAAAACCCAAATAAACAAACCACTAAAAAATAACAACAGAAACAAATTTGAACTCTGAAAATAATGCACTCATGAGACCCCAAGTCTTAGTGGCCAAGGTTTGTTTCTTGGCTTGTCTCTTAAGGATCAAGGTCTTCTTTGTGGCCAGAATGACTTACCTGATTTTCAGTAATTGACTATTGAATAAAACAGACAATAGAAGATGTTGCAGAAGGACGGGATGCCAAAGAATGAGAAATAAATACGATTGGGAAAAAAGGGAGCAGAATACAGTGTAACCTCATTCACAAGCCGTCACTTCCCAGAACTCTGAATTCATTAAGTTTTCCGCACTTCTCTACTCTGAAAGTGTCAGATGACAAGAAAGCAAGCTGTTAAGTTTACTGAAGAACTGCATGCATAAATATTTCTAATATTATATTTTGAGGTTAGTACATAATTCATTTCTGTCTAATGTGCCTACAGTATAATCTTGGCTATGCAGGGTTATGACTGATCCTCAGAAACCGTGGAAACCATAAATCATCGAAGGCTTCAATCATATTCATCATCCTATGCTTACTAAAGCCAGAAGGATGTAGAAATATGTTGCAGAGACTTTGTAAACAACTCTCATTTAGCCAGAAATAAAATCTGTATACTCTACAGACAGAATCCAGTATTCTTTATATTTTATTACTGAGATACAAGTCACCTAACATAAAGTTCACCATTTTAACGACTTGAAGTATATAATTCAGTGGCTTTTTGTACATTCACGACGTTGTGCAACCTTTACCACTCTCTAATTCAAGAACATTTTCATCACCCCCAAAAGAAACTCCGTAGCCATTAAGTAGGCGTGCCTCGGTGCCCCTCTGCCACCGGTCTGCTTTCCGTGGATTTGCCTGTTCCGGGCATTGATCCAAATGGATTCGCACAATATGTGCGCCTGGCTCCGCTCAATTGGCATAATGTTTTCAAGGCTCTTCCATGTTGTAGCAGTGTCTGTACTTCATTGCTTTTGTGGCTGAATCACATTCCACTGTATGGGTAGACCACATTTTGTTTATTTGCCATCAGTTTGATGGGCATTTGGCTTGTTCTTTACATTTACATTTTTATTTCTATCAATGGCATACATGTCTATAGACTATCAAGTCAGATGGTGCTAGTCCCACGATAACAATGAGCCATCCTCTGCCCTCCCTCAAGCAACCACTTTCAGCCCATTTGTTTCTTTTTTTTTTTTTTTTGCGGTACGCGGGCCTCTCACTGCCGCGGCCTCTCCCGTCGCGGAGCACAGGCTCCGGACGCGCCGGCTCAGCGGCCATGGCTCACGGGCCCAGCCGCTCCACGGCACGTGGGATCTTCCCGTACCAGGGCACGAACCCACGTCCCCTGCATCGGCAGGCGGACTCTCAACCACTGCGCCCCCAGGGAAGCCCTCTTGCTTTACTTTGAACTCTCATCCTTTCCCCCCCTTTTTTTTGTGCCCATCCTTCAGTAGTTTCCTAAGAAAGGATGACCAGGAGGTAATTTTTTGAGGCTTTTCATTTTACTCTTATATTTTATTGATAATTTGACTGGAATTCCTGATTGGAAAACAGACGTTTGTTTTCTAGCCCCCCGTGTTGCTGAGTAGCCTGATACAATGCTGATTTCTGGCTCCTTTTCTCTGGAAGTTTTCAGGAGATTCTGTTTCTCCCTTGTGTTGTTTAAATTTCATCATGTGTATGATAGAGGTTTTGTTCATTTATTTGACCAGGTATTTAATATCCCTTTCATTCTGGAGGTTTATTCTTTCAGCTCTCAAAAATATTTGTTATTTCTTAGGTAATTTCCTTTATTCATTTTCACTATTCTTCCTAGAACTGTTATTTTTCCTATACTGGACCTCCTGGACTAACCCTGTGATTTTTCTTATTTTTTCCTTTCCAGTTTCCTACCTTTCTGATCTTGTTCTACTTTCTGGGAAAATTCCCACCTGTATTTTCAAAACTTAATACAGAACTCTTATTTCTGCTAACGTGTTTAATATCTGAGAGTTTTTGTCTGTATTTTTTTAGCCTTTTGTTCCTATTTTGAGGATTCACAAATGCCTCTGAAGATGTTAAATAGTTATTCCCCTGCCCCCTTTTTAAAGGCTTCTGCTCCCTGCATTGTTGCTGTTTATTCAGGTTCTTTGTGTTTTAATTTTTGGTTTTGTCTTTCATGTTAGAGGCTTGCTCAGATGTCTTGTGATCCTTGACTATCCGTTCATATTTAAGGATGGGGATCTTAAAACTGTTAGAAACTCTCTATACGTTGGCAGGACTTCCCAACTGGTGGGCTCACCTTAGGGTGGGTGTTAGGCAGAATAATGATCTTCCAAAGATATCCACATCCTAAACCCCAGAACCTGTGGAAATGTTACCTCACATGGCAAAAGGGACTTTGTAGATGAGATTCAGGTTGAGGCCCTTGAGATGGGGAGAGTAGCCTGCATTACCCAGGTGGGATCAATCTAATCACACGAGTTCTTAAAAGCAGAGAACCTTTCTCAGCTGTGGTCAGAGGGAGTCCGTGACTACGGAAGAAAGGTCAGAGAGATGCCTCGTTGCGAGTTTTGAAGGTGGAGGAAGGACGCCATGAGCCAGGAATACGGTCAGCCTCTAGAAGCTGGAGAAGGCGAGGAAAGAGAATCTCCTCTAAAGCTTCCAGAAGGGAACGCAGCTCTACTGACACTGCTTTTACCCCAGTGAGACCTGTATCAGACTTCTGGCCTCCAGAATGGTATGGTTATAAATTCGCGTTGTTTTAAGCCACTAAGTTTGTAATAATTTGTAACAGCAGCAATAGAAAACTAATATAAGGTGATTGGAAGGACAGTCAGTCAGCTGCTTCACTGAGGATTCCCAGTGTCGTTATTTATAAAGTTTGGGGTGTTTTTTTTTTTCCTCTCTTGGTCTGGTCAATTTCCTCACAAACGAACCCTTCATTCTCCTGCTGGGGGTCTATCAGTTAGAATGGGTCAAACAGAATCACGTAGGTTTCACTAGAATAAATTAAGGCATTAGGGCCTTCACAAATGTGGGAGGAGGCTGCTGAGGAAGGCAAGGGCTTGAAAGCTGCGGCTAGAGAATTAGTGAAACTGTCCCTGAAGACTTGAGCCTGCGGCACTGGGGTGGGAGAAGCTGGAGGTACCAGGAAATTCCAAGAAGCCACAGCATCTACCAAAAGAGGCCGCAAAATGGGAGCTTGTGGGGAGAGATCCGTGAACCCGCCACAGCTGGCCGTTGGAATGATGGCGTTCTCTCCTCTCAGCCGCCCGAGTCTTACGCACGTTCCTCTCACTGGCAGGTTGAGCCTGGAATCATGCCGGGAAAGGGGTTCTGGGAAGCGTGGTTCCCAGCCATAGACAGGCATGGTGATGGCCGTGAGTTGACTTGACGGTAGACAGCCCAGCCGGAGGTATATTGTAAGCCAGGCTGCCAGGTTCTGGAAGCTGAACTAAAGAAAACGGCTGGAAGCTGAACAACGAGGAAAGCTCACTGTTCACAAGGTGGACTTAAATCTAACCCTCTTTGTAGTAAGGCACCTAATCCTCCCTTGGCTGTGCCTGAGATTCCTAAGTCCAGAGCTTCTCCAGAGAATGGAATTTGTGTTGGGAGGACGGGAGAGAAGACTGGAGTTTAACTGAGCCCTTACCCAGACTCCCAGTGAGACTAGTTTTCGGTCCCCGTCTTCAGAGGTGGCTGGCTGCAACTCCGACTTGCCCCCGATCTGCACAGGAATCAGATTGCTTCTTGTGGACTTTCTTCTCTGGGGTCTTAGGTTTCGGCCTAAGTTTCCTTACCACAAATCTGTCCCTTCTCTAAGATTTTGTTGACAGCCTCATTCTCTTTGTCCTTGTTGCTTCATACTTATTTTACCCTTTATCATCATATTAGTGGGATTTCAGAAGGAAGTCAACAAGCCCATGAGTTCACTGTGTTTAACGTGAACGTCTATAAGTTTTTTAAGGAAAATTGTATAATATCGTGCAAAGAGCTCAAAGCCAAGTGGCCTAGGTCTACTTCCAGCTATTTTACCATTTTAAGGAACCACATTTTCTCATCTCTAAAACAAGGTGGTCCCAGGACTTCCCTGGTGGTGCAGTGGTTAAGAATCTCCCGGCCAATGCAGGGGACACGGGTTCGATCCCTGGTCCGGGAAGATCCCACATGCCACGGAGCAGCTAAGCCTGTGCGCCACAACTACTGAGCCTGCGCTCTAGAGCCTGCGAACCACAACTACTGAAGCCCATGTGCCTAGAGCCTGTGCTCCGCAACAAGAGAAGTCACTGCAATGAGAAGCCCGTGCACCGCAACAAAGAGTAGACCCCACTCACCGCAACTAGAGAAAGCCTGCACACAGCAACACAGACCCTATGCAGCCAAAAATAAATTTATAAAAAATTTAGAAAACAAGGTGGTCCCATCGAGGTCCTTTTTAAAGGCTCTAATGACAGCTGTGGCCCCTCTCCCTTAGAAGAAAAATAGTACAAATGCACAAACACAAAAAATTGAGTATATTTTAGAAGGGTCACAGGTCTCTGAGGCCCTTCCAAGAAGCCTCCAAGGTTATTAACCCCCAAGTTTAGAACCCCTGGCTCAGATCACCTCCGAGGTCACCTGACATTCTGATTTTTCAAAGCTGTAAGGTTTAAATGTAGTATATTTCAAAGGTGACATTTCGAGGCCTTTTTAAGAGTTAATGAAATAGTTTTCAATGCACTATTTATCAGGAAACCAAAAAATCTGGAGTCCAAGTATTAGTCTGAATTCAGTTCAGAGAGGTCAAGCGGCTTTATCTGCAGCAACATGGATGGACCTAGAGATGATCATACTAAGTGAAGTAAGAAAGAGAAAGACATATACCATATGATACCACTTATATGTGAAGTCTAAAATACAACACAAATGAACACATCTATGAAACAAAAACAAGTATAGAGAACAGACTTGTGGTTGCCAAAGCGGAGAGTGGGGGAAGGATTGGGAGTGTGGGATTAGCAGATGCAAACTCTTGGGTTGGCCAAAAAGTTTGTTCAGGGTTTTCCGTAAGGTGTTATGAAAAACGCAAACAAACATTTTGGCCAACCCAATATATAGGATGGATACACAAAAACATCCTACTGTATAGCACTGGGAACGATATTCAATATCCTGTGATCAACCATAATGGAAAAATATGAAAAAGAATATATGTATAACTGAGTCACTTTGCTGTACAGCAGAAATTAAACAACATTGTAAATCAATTATACATCAATAAAAAAAATTTTTTTTAAGTAAATTAAAAAGGGGGCTTAGAGTTTAAGTGGCTTGTGGACTTCTAGATGGTTAGTCGGCATGGCTGGTGGAAGAGGGGGTCCAGAATCTCTCACTTGCTCATCATGAAAAACGCCATGGAATCATGGTGAGAAATCTCAGCAGAGGCTTTGCCAGCAGCCACTGGGGATGGTCCAGGTTACACCAGCAATGGCCGCTCTGACCGTGCACTCGTATGGCACACAGTTTTTAATAATGATGTCAAGAAAACAGGCTCAACTGAACTACAGACTAGGTAAAACTCCAGATGGTAGGTAATAGCATCACTATGTACCCAGACGACTCTATAT